TTTACAGAATACCAAATGGAAAAAAACCTTTTTTGGTCTTTTGAGATTCTCACAAACCAAAAGATGCGCCAATAAGACTCACCAAACACCACCTTTGTCTACTGATATCCAGAACCAGAACTCTGGTTGTTTATTGGTGCTTAATCCTTTTGTTTGCCTTAATAATTTGTAGGGATAGTCTGTAGTGTAGTCCCTATTTAGTTCGTGTCCGTTGTGCTTCCTTTAGCTTTGTGGACAGATTTCCTACTTACTTTCTCTACCCGCACCCTACTCACAGTAATTACAGCCGTACATCTCACAATACAAAATGGCAATGTATGGCTGCATTCATGGCAGGTAGAGTGTCGGTAAAGGGTAGTGGGCCTGTTCACAGGCCAGGCTTTGTGTTCGGCTTTACACGATCTGGCTCTGGCTTCAAATCAGGCCCATTCAAATTTTGGCAAAAGCTAAACCTGAGCCTGACCCAAGAATAGATCCATTCTCTAATAAATTTCATTTCCTTGAAAATAAATAAATCAACGAATAAAACTTAATCCCATTGTGCAGCTTTAATGTCTTGTGTATAGGTGTGGTAGCATCTTGATTGGGATTCCTTAAACCTTGGGCTAACCTTACATTTGACACCATCACCGCCACCAAGTGGAAATATGGTTCCTCTAGTGCACTAGAAAAATGCCTCATTGATTGGGCTGGCGAAGGCAAGAGAAACATGAGTACAAAAAAAATTAGAGACGGAGAACCAAAGAAACATAAGGCTGCGTTTGGAAGGAGTGTAAATACAAAAATACATTGCAAAATCTCACACCTTCGATTCAGGTGCATGCAATTGTGGACCGAATTTTACCTTTAATTTACACTCTTCTTGTTTGGCAACTATTGGCACAAAACAAGGGTGTTACTTTGTGATTGTTTGGAAATTTTATAAGGATGCAAATTAACATCTCATTTTTTTTACAAAAAATTACAGTTCCCTTCAAAAGTGCAGGTCTGTTCGAACACTTGTGTACACTCAAAAGTTCTAGTGACGTCTCTCAAAAATCCAACAGACTGTCGATGTTGAATTCATTCAAAAGTGGGCCATGAGCCAATGACATCAGTGTGCAGTTGTCTTGCTGAAGTGTTGGTGTACAGACATCACCAGCACTTTTGAAGCTGAAGCTGAAGTCATTGGCTGGCAAATGACTTCATCTACGCCATTCAACTAGTGGGGTCCCATCCACGTATACTAACACTGAGCCTCCAAAGCTGCCACAGTAACAAAGAAAATGTGAATTAAATAATGTAGTGACAAGGAAACCATTAGGCAAGGTGTCAGATATGGATTTACACAAACATTTAAGTAAGGCACTCTTGTATAAGAATCTGGGTATCATGGATGAACAACCTTTCTCTTACCTAATTGATATCTTATCATATGTGAATGCTTTCATCATCACAGAAATGATAAAAGGACATGATTTCAAAATGTTGATATGCTCATTAATGTATTTTTTGTGTTTCGAAGGGTTAAGATATCAAAAAACTTGTTCTTAAGAAATCAGATAGGATATGAATCCTATGATGCTGATATGCTTTTAATACTTTTTTTTTTTTTTTGAGAAAAGGTAAAGTATAATTGTATTAAAGCAAAACAGGTCCTTTGGAAAATGAGAAGTTGTTAAAGAAGGACCTCAAAGAAAAGCCCATCCTCAAAAAAATACTATTAAAAGTATCATCTTTAAACACAGTATGTATACACAACCGACTTCTAGTAACCCCTATAGCCAAATTGATGACCTCAGCTTCAGAAAAGCTTTGTGCTAAAAAATCCTATTGTTCCTTTGCTTGTACCCTGTGTTTGTATATTTAAATGCTGGTTTTGTAGCAGAACAAGGAGGTCTGGTACTATCTGAAGCTCTCAATCATTAAAGCCCCTTCTAAAAGGAGTCCAACAATTGCAATTGTCAGTCAACAAAAAAGAATCAGCTACCAAGACTTCCCTGTCTGTTGTTACATTATACAAGGTTGGAAACATCTCTATAAGAGTGTGATCCCCAATCCAGGGGTCTAACCAGAATCTGAGTCTTATACCATCTCCAATTTTGTAGTTGATGCACCTTCTGAAATGTGTGGAAACTTAATAGATTCCTTTCCACACACCACAACCATAAGTCAATGGTAGTAATCCAGCCTCCCAAAGGTTATCTGGTTCAGCAGAGAACCTCTAAAGCCAACTTCCCAGTAAAGCAAAGTTGAAAGACTTTATATGTCTTATTCCCAAACTACCTTTGGACTAAGACTTACAAATATGATCCCAATTCACAAGATGGTATTTGGGAGAGTCTTTCCAACCTGTTTGAATTATGAAACTTAATCCTTTGCTAATTGTACAAACTGATGGCTATTAGTTTCCTGCTTATAAACTATATTTGATG